GCCGAGAGCTGTAGATTTGTCGGAGGTCATTGATTTCAAGTGTATTTTAGAATCCTATAATCAGAATAATGAACTTCCAGCTGGAGTTTTCAAACTTACATCCAGTTTCGGCACACCTGTATTCGGCTTGGATAGTCGGCCTGGTATGCAAATTTCTTTCATGAAGGATCTTCGTGAAGTGACACTCTCTGTAGTCTGCATTGTTGTTGTGTGCCTCTGATGGTTGAAAGATGCTCTGAGCTGCTGCTTATATATTCAGGGTTTTACTTCATTCCGGGGGCTTTGAGCGTTGAGGAGCAATGCCAGTGGATAACAGAGAGTTTAGCAAGTTTTCCTCAACCACCTAACAGGACGAATCATAATGCTATTTACGGGCCTCTAGAGAACTTGTTTGCTGCTGCCAAAGAAGAAAGGGTCTTGGTTGAAATTGAGCAGCCAAGGGATATAGTTTCCGAGATTGATTCTGTGCATGATGCCCAAATTAATCCGCGGTGGAAATTCTCTGGCGAGTTAGATAAATCATGCAGAGGAGATGCATGTAAATCAGTGTCAGCCTCTGTCTTGCTGCGGAAGTTGCGTTGGTGCACCCTTGGCCTGCAATTTGACTGGTCTAAGGTCCATTTGCTTTCTTCTCGCCATTGTGTTCTTGTACATGGACTTGTATGGTTTTCGCTGTTTCTTTGAAACTTGGCAATCAGTGTCTGCTAAGTCTATTCTCAAAGCAGAATGTTGGTCATAGCTTCAGGTTTGGCGTGGATTTTTCCTTAGATAACTTGCATATGTTCAGATTTCCTGGGTGTAGTTAGTTTTCTGTGATGCTCATAGCGGGACATCATCATGTGTTCTGATACTCTTTGCTCCTGTAAAGAGGTTTTATACCCGTCATTCGAGCTGTCCCTCAATTTGATGTCTTGAATAGTTTTTCAATTGTACAAGGCCTTAGAGATCTTTTTTCCCAAACAAGTCATTTAAGTTTAACTTTTCTGTTTGCTTGTGTCCTTTGTCTTAAATATGGTTGACTTCATTTGGCTTGCTTATGTTTTTTGCTTGAGCATAATTTTTTTTTTATTATGAGCAAAGAACATGAAAACGAGAAACTAGAGAAAAGAATGTCCTGTAGTTTTCTACTATATGATATTATTACTTGAGGCAGTATCTGTAAGTGTATGACCACTTACCAAATGAAAAAGGGAGGGGGAGATGTATAAGAACTGTAGACATGTGAGGCTAATTATTTTGGTGTTCTCTATGCAGTTTCTCATCTAGATTGTTGATTTTGAAATAGCATCTCTTGAGGCAGTATCTGTAAGTGTATGACCACTTACCAAATGAAAAAGGGAGGGGGAGATGTATAAGAACTGTAGACATGTGAGGCTAATTATTTTGGTGTTCTCTATGCAGTTTCTCATCTAGATTGTTGATTTTGAAATAGCATCTCTTGCATATAGGTGATGATTTTGAATTGCTTCACCGTTTCACAATTTCATGTAACTTGTCTATTGACTACTCATGGACAATTGAGCCTCACCTTTTCTTTAGCACTTTAATTGCTGATTTCTTGTTTCCTTTTGGTATGTTTTATGTTCTAGAGGAGCTATAATGTTTCCCTCCCTCACATCAAGATACCTGAGGCTCTTTGTTGCCTTGCTAAAAGGTTGGCCAAGCCTGCAATGCCTCCTGGTCAAGATTTCCAGCCAGAAGCTGCAATAGTGAACTACTTTGCTCTAGGTATTATGAATTCATCAGTGTCCTGAGGGCTTCCTTGTCGTCTGCTCATAAATGGGTATACTGCAGCACAAGTCTGACCTAGATCTTGTGTGATATATCTATTCTTACCGTACTTAAGCATGTACTTTATCACTCTCTTTGTATAACCTTATACTACAAAAATCTATCTTGTTCAACCATTAACAATAGCTTTTCCATACTCTACAGGAGATATGCTGGGTGGGCACCTTGATGACATGGAAAAAGATTGGAGTAAACCGATTGTCAGCATAAGGTTTTATGCTTTTGTTTTGTTCATTTTTGTTATTATTCTTTTTCTTTGTTTAATCTGGATGTGAGAATGCTAAAATGTTAGTACCTAACAATCAATTTTTCTCTTTCAGCTTGGGTTGCAAAGCTATTTTTCTTCTTGGGGGAAAGTCTAGGGAGGATCCACCACTTGCAATGTTCCTTAGAAGTGGCGATGTTGTACTTATGGCTGGAGAAGCGAGGGAGTGCTTTCATGGTAGTGAAAAGCATACAGCTTCTGTTATGCATTCTTCTTTGTTGGTTGTGAATATTGGAATTTTTTTTTTTTCATACAAGATCCATACGTTTCTCTTTTGCTTTTCTTATAATTGATATACATAAACTCTTGAGTAATGCTTGATATTGTCTTTCAAGTTGTCAAATTTTGCCACACATAATAATTAGGTTAGTTAGTCATAAATGAAGATTGTGCACATATTTTGGTGACTCCCATTATTTTGTTTCCTTGATCTGACTATTTGAAGTTCACTACTTTTGAGAGAATCATCAGCTCAATGGGCTGAGGTCCTGTAAATCCTGAACTACATGGACCAATTGTTCTGCTTGCCTCAAAGCTCCTTAAATTACCTCAGGAGGATTCATTTTCATTAATCATGAGATTCATCTGGTGGAGTCTATCATCTTATGCTTCGTGTTTATGGAATTAGGGCAGATATCTTCAAGAGTCTTCTTGGGTGTTGCTGTTATCATTTTCATGACCAAATTTATCACACTTGTTACTGTCGTGATGGAAGCAATACTTGTAGATTGACTTCTGGTGTTTTTGTTGTGACTGGTTTCAAAAGGCATCTGCATAAAGATTGTCTTATAATTCGCTGTTTGGGTGGGAAATGGGAGGGAGTGTGTAGTCTCTTTCATGGATGAGGATTCATTGATGACTTGCAAGTATAAGGTTATGCCCGCTTTTTATCATCCCAATTCTTCTGACTTTTCAGTGCTATTGTTGTCTGTTTTACCCTCGGTTTTCAGGTGAACAGCAATTACCATGTCAATTGCAGTCTCATCTTACATTTTTTTCTTTAAATGTTGTAACTTCATACTTCAAATTTTGGTGCTTGAGTGCGTCTCCTCTTAAATGTAAAGAGTCAGTTGATGCACTCTTCTCCAGAGAGTTTACAGTGTTTATTGGTCTTTTGAAGCATTCCCCTGCTGAATCAGTTGCTTATTCTGCAGGTGTTCCTAGGATCTTCACTGACACAGAAAGTGCTGAAATAGTTGATTTGGAATCACAATTTTCAAGAGAAGAGTCTTTTCCGTTCCGTGATTATGTTAGATCTTCAAGGATCAACATCAATATTAGACAAGTTTTCTGACTCGGTTACTTGGAGACTTTTCAAGTCCTTTATTCTTTCCTGTCATACAATTGGAAATTTTGAATTTTGCCCCTACTTGACGGCAAAATTTGTTCTTAGAAAAACCCTTGGGTAAGGGGTCCGATCGTAGCGGCATTTTTTATGATGTGAACGCAAATAAACGCCCCGAAGAACTTACGAGAGATGGTGCGATGGTATCGATTTGTAGGCATCCTGGATTAGCGGCAATGATGACCATTTTTGTCCCGAGTGAGATTTTCATAGCATAGTTTCTTTTCTTTGGCCATATTTCTATTGAGTAAATGTTATATCTATTATCATGGTTAAATGATGAATGTGACATAAGTAAAATTTAGATTTGAAATTCAAATTTAGTATACGTGACATTCATTTAAACATGACAATGTATACGTTATCAGTGTACAGAAAATTAATTCATTTCTATATGATCTTTCTTTCATCTTCCATTTTTTTTTTTCAATTTTTTCTGGCCTTGGTTTGGACAGAAACCAAAGAGAACTTCTCAGAACTGGTACGCACAATTTGCCGTCACCCCGCTGCCGAAATTGATTGACCAAACTCAACAAAAAGAAAGTTGAGTTTTTTGAAAGCGGGGATGGTACCTGAATCTATAAAAACAAGTCAAAATAATTTACTGTCTGAGTAAGTATATGCGTATAACTTTTTAAAGAGAGCAAAAAAATGCTGTAATCTTCAAAAACACAATTAAATAATTGATATTAAATTTCAGTTTAAAACAAATTATCAAATCGACGAAGTAGAGATGGCCGAGTTGGTCTAAGGCGCCAGATTAAGGTTCTGGTCCGAAAGGGCGTGGGTTCAAATCCCACTCTCCACAACCGTGACCCTTTGGTTTTTTTGCCAGTTGAATTCCTTCGTTTTCGCTCAACATTTTTGGAACATTCTTCGTAACTTGAGGTAGGGATTAATTATTTAATAAATAAAAGATGAAAAAAAAAGGCTTCTTTGAGATCGCACAAGAAATATTTAGAGTTTGTTTGGATTACAACTCTTTGGAATTTTTATAAAAAAATATTATTGTAGAGATGTAATGCATGTGCGGTAACAAAGTTCTCATTAGAAAATGTGTAAATGGAATATATTTTTTTTTAAATTTTTTTGAAAAGTGACAATCCAAACGCGACCTTACATGCTTGACCTCTAAAATTATCACTTGCTCAAGAACTCCCAATTACAAAAATAAATTGTAATAAAATATTGGCTGAATTGCACTTTATACTCGAAATGGCAAAAACTCTAAAGGGCTCAAAAAGAAAGAGTAACATGCAATTTTAGTATATTATCTTTGAATCTTGAGTGATTTTGATATCCAAACATTCGAATATGATACCTAATATTACAATATTTAAGCATATGTAATACCCTTGACGGATGTTTTTCAAATTGTTATTGAAAAAAATAACATGCTATCATGCGCCTAGCAACAAAAATTGAAAAAAAAAAAATCTTAAGGAAACAAAAATAACATGCTAGCCTGGTGGAGAGCTTTAGAACAAATAACCAATCGAGCTAATCATATACGCTCAAGACTCCCTCCTCCTCCTCATACTCCCTTACACTTTATGCTCGGAATAACAAAAACTCAAAAAGGGCTGCAAAAGAAATTGTGGAAAGAGAGGGGGATGGAAAAGAGCTTCTAGATTTTAGAATCTAGAGAAATCTAAAACCTCAAAAATTAGAGGATGGTTAGAAGAAGACCGTCAAGGCTCAACTTCGAAGCAACAACAGTGCCCACAACCGCACCACGACAAACGATTGCCTTCCCCAGACTTCCAAGAAAAAACATCTCACACTAAACTCCAAAGCCTCCGACCTCCACACCACCAAATTAACTCCAATTTACGTGTACAATTCCACCACCACCACTTGAACACGAAAAGATCAATTTTTACACCGTTCCATACAATCAAAGAAACACGAAATAAAGAGGGAGGAAAGTAGCAGAAATTTACACGGAATAAAGAGGGAGAAAACTAGCAGAAATTTTCTCTCTCTTCCTGCATCTCGGCATTCACAGGCAAATCCGGGGAATCATCTGAAATGGGTCCAATCGTATTGACTCAACTAGCAACGGGGTTGAGCGTTCTGGCTGGGGCCGTTGTGGTGAAGTCAGTAATGGATTCTAGGACCATGTTCGGGCCGGGCCAGTTTCCCAGATGCCCAACGTGCAACGGCACGGGCCGGGTCGCCTGCCTATGCTCTCGCTGGTCGGACGGGGACATTGGTTGTCGAACATGTGCTGGGTCGGGTCGTAGGTCTTGCACTAGCTGTGGTGGTTCAGGGACCGGTCGCCCTATTCCGGTTCAGCTGTCTGCTCGTCCTCCTCGCAACCAGCCTTCTTCTTGAAAACCGGTTTGCAGTATATATTCTGGATTAGCTATCTAAGATGTATAACCAGTTATTTAATGCAATCGCATTTACTCCGGTTTGTATTCGTGTACCAGTACGACATGGAGTAACTTCTTTTTATTATTTTTTTTTTAAAGGAAATGAAAAGTTATACGATGTATTATCTCTCATTGATACTTGTGAAAGGGAGAGGAAAGCTGAAATTTTTAGTAGGTTGTAATGTAATTAATTTGCTGTAACATTTATAGCTGGACCGTGTCTACTGGTACAACTTACAAGTCTGTGATGAGTGGCTTATTGTTGATTGTTTTGGTAGCTGAAATGGTAAAATTTTTTGGGTGCTTATAGGTAAAAATGTAACGAGGAAATGAACCTTAGCGGTTCTGGTGCTTAGCGGTTCAATGATGGCAGGTTCTGGTGTTTGCTGAATGCTACGCAGTATTTGATTATTCATCTTTCCTTAAAAAGAAAAAAAAAAATGGTGCATCGAATGTGTTCTGGCACATGCTCGCAAATGGTTGAATGGCGTTTGCAGCCTAAATTGATGTCTGAAATATAGATTTGATTATTTGTTTGGAATTCAACTTTGGTGCTCGTTTGGTTCTTTTGCTTCTAAAGTTAGATTCTTCTTCTCGTTCTTTTAGGCATTCTCTCCACCTCTGCCCCGCACATGTCTAGTTTCCAATCAGACATTGTCTAGTTTTATGACAAAAACTAGCTCTATCCTCGTCGTACAGGAATACAAGACTAATTATATCGTATAGGAATACAAATACAGCAGGAGTTAGATAGCAAAATCATAGGAGAGAGAAAATAGGACTGATATACGCTAACATTTTATGCAATTAAATTGACTGAAAGGCTAATTTAACTTCTGCTGCACTCTGTTAGTCCATTATGTTATGGAAAGCTGATAATTGTGCATTTCCTGAAGACTTGAGAGGCTGAGAAGTCATAGATGTTTTGTGAAGGATACAATAATGGTTCTCTTTTGCTCAAATTTTGTTGAGAGAGAAGGTCGGCATGGACCCTTTTTTTTTTTCCAGATTAAATGCTGAACACTTTAAACATATGGGAGTTATTAGGCACAAAACTTTAAGGTAGTTTGTCCATGTCTTAACTGATATGCTACTACGTCATATAGTCGTTTCAGATTCCAAAAGTCCAGTAACGAGTTGGTGCTACCTTTTCTTGAGAATAGTGAATTGCAATCTACTGCCATTCAGGGAAGAACTTGAGCTCTTGGATTTCTGGCAAGGTGGTTCTTCCAGCCAAAAATAAATTGAATTGCCTTGCTTTGTGGCAAATTATCAATTGCTTCAAGGAAGCGCGTTTCTGCGGTTGATTTTGGTCCAAGATTTACAAGTTAATAGCCTCTAAAATTTAGGGTAAGTCCTAAAAATTTGCGCCATTTAAGACGTAAAAGTTGCAATCTTTATGATTAGGAAGTTCAGCAAGTAGAATAATAACGAGCTCGTTGCATTTCTAAATATCGGAAGGATTCAATGGTTGCCTTTTGCTCGAAGTCTAGCTGTGCAATCGTGTAGGCTCTTCTTATTGCAAACAAAATGGGAAAATTTGCAGAATAAAATTACTACGCCCTTTTTATCATCTAAATTTGGGTGTCAGTTGATTTTGAACCTTTGGATACCACATCCGGTACATAGTAAATAACTAACTAACACGGTTATAAGAAGAGGTGTCATCGATAGGAGATGACATCTTAAGAATATAAATTAAATAATGTGAAGCATTAAGATAAGAGGGAACATTTACCTAACATGCTTGTCTTAGATGTCCCTTGATCATTAGCTTTGCTGGCAAACCTAAGTTTAATTCTTCCTGAAATGTTGAAGAATTTTCTTTTTAGGCATCTCTTATGATTAAGAATGCAAAATAAAAAGCATTTTAATTTATTAGTAAGGGAGCTCACTGATGGTGATTTTTTTTTTTTTTTTTTTTTTAAGAATTTAGCTATTTGATCAATCTGCAGGAGAGGTGTGGGATCAATCTGCTTGCTTCCGTTATGCCAGTAGTAATCATTTTCATATACTCGGGGGATGCTAGAAGAAGTTCAGGTCGAACGCTTTGTAGGTTGGATGAGAGCCAAAGCATGATGGGTCGTATGTCTAGTTTTAAGTTTCAATCACCATTTGTCCATAACACAGAGCAAGAAATTACGAAACATCAAAAAATTGTGTGTGTGTGTGTGTGTGTTTTTTTTTTCCGGAGACGACAACTGTAGTATATCCTAATCTATCCTACACTAGGGGAGGGGGTGAAAAAATTGTGTGTAAAGAGGCTACAATTCATCATACTGTCCAACCATTGGAAAGGCAGAACAGAGCAGAGAGCGTCTTTCCTTCCCTTACTTTCGTCTTTGACTTGATTTTTTCTCCTTTTTTTTGTTATCAACACTATTCATTTTGTTATGACATTTGAAAGCAAGGAATATTTGTATTACTCTTCTATTTTCATGATAAAATGTTCATCTCGAAAGCTTGACATCCATTTTGGACCTGGGTTCCATGCTCATGCTAACGGTGATATTCTTCCCTAGTATCTTCTACACACTACTAAACATCTAATTTACTTCAAGAAGGTCAAAATTGGACAAATATATGCTAAGGTGGCGTTCTCAATTCCGGTGCAGTCTTTCCCGAATAGGGAGTCTTGTGTCATCTGCTGTAGAATCTTTGCTGATGATGTACCTTAGTTATGCATTACTTGCCTTTTTCAAGTTTGATTTTATGAAAGTGGTAAAGATTTCAACATCTAGGTGATTATAATGCATCTTTAGACACCATAACGTATGAAATAGATATGATAGCCTGTTGCTTGTGCTTGATAGTATGTGCAAGCGATATAGCGTTATAATTAATGTCTTCTTTGGTTAATTTGGGGGGCTTGGTCTAAGAACTTGTGTTGTGGCAGAAAAACTTTTCCATCTGCTCATGCATGACTATGAATTCATTATCTTAGTAGGCCTCCTACAAAGTTCAGACCAAGAAAACCGATCCGGTAGCTGACGTTAAATTGTCTTCATTCATACCGGCTATGTTGTTTGCTGATTGTAAACACCATCAATCCTGAGATTTGGTGCTTCATGCTTATCTATCTGGAGGCTTATATGTACCCGCTGTATTAGTTAGTCCACCAAGTCACTCTGGGAATTTCCCTGTTATGCATATGGGTGGATCTATTGTTACTTTTCTCGATAACATGGGTTCAAAATGATGGGGTGGAGTTTGTTTTGAGGTATTTGTACACTGCATTAGGTATTCTCTACAGCAGACAGAGACAAAGAGAATACAAGATTTCAAATAATACATCATCACTTAGAAAACACAGTTCTAAAATGTTTTCCATCATGATGCTGTCCCCCGTGTCTTCAGCACTTGAATCTTTTGAGCTGCTGCTTCCTTCCCTCACTTGTTGGTGAAAGCCTGGAGGGTGACAAAAGCAACACTCATTAGTTAATTTCGTCCTATCGTCAATGTGACAGTAACCAAGTTTATGGACTTGTGCTGTGTGCGGCACTCGTTTAAATGAACTTTGGTGCGTAAATTTTTTTATGGATCTCTTGAGCATTGGAACATGATACTCTCTATTCTCATCAGTCCAATAGTTTCTAGCTTAACCATGTAATTTGGACATAATTTCAGGTGAAGGTACTAATTGAAATTTGAGAATTGTACTTACAGAAAAAACGGTGGCATGCCCAGGATCAGCAAGGTGAGCAAAGAGGTTGTCAATTGGTCCTGTACCAGTGTAGATGTGTTGGAACCATGCACCCATTACAGCCAACATCGCCAACCTTCCATTCTTGATCTCTTTTGTCCTCAATTCCTTGACTTTCTCAGGAGAGCCGGTTCCCCAGCCAAGAGGGTCAAACCACAGGCCGCCTGGGTAGCCAACATCAGTTCCAGTAAGCTTGTTGTTTGGGAAGATGGGGTCAGTGTTCACACATCCAGGCTTGATGATGTCCGCCCACCGTCTTCCCTCGGCCCAACCGATGAGGATCATCTCAACGACGAAGAGTGTTGTGGTGTCGGTGAAGTATTCTAGTTCTCCAGCAGAGTACCATGATGGCGTATTCAGGATCCCAATCTTTGTCAAGAATTCAGGGATAAAAATACCCGCTGCACCCAACATGGCCCATCTGCAATGCACGATCTCCGACTGCACATTCCACCTCAAGGTCTCTGGGTCAGATCCTGTCAACAAGCCCTTGAAAGTATTTTAAGTAATGGGGAAAAAGCGAGTCTTGCTTTCCAAGCAAAAGAACCACTTAATTCAGTCGCAGGAGAATGGAGAATGACTTACCCAGACCCAGAGGATCAAAGCCAAAGTCTCCTGGGAGGCTGCATCACAGTGTTTATAAGAATATAATTATTAGAACACTGCAAACTATTCATAGGCTGCAGGAGCAGGATGATGAAAATATATATACATATATGCTTTCCATCAAACCTGCCATCAAGCCATGGGGGTGGTGTGCTGCCGGGGAACCAGATGGGTCTGTCGGGGTCAGCAGCTGCAGCACAGATGGTCAGCGATCGTGCTCCAGCAGGAGGAGAAGTGTACTGGCTTACTCTCAGTTTCCTCCCACTAAGGAAAGAAGCTTTCGTTGCTCCCAGGATGGATCCATTCTTCTGAGAGCTGTATGCGTATAACGTACTACTGACATAAGTTACAAACACTGCACAATCTACCTAAGTACATGTATGGTTTCCTATAGTTTTTGGTTGTCTGGTTTCATCAGAAAAATAAAAAGAATCTGATACCATACCAATCATGTTGATGTCAAGTACTTTCAAAACATGTCTGCTTCTGTATATCCTACCGGTTGTTTTGCACAAGCTGTGATCTACGTTACTTTACTACTAGGTCTCATAATAATTCTTGAAATGCAGAGGGATTGGAGTGCACTTGCCTTGGGGAAGAAGAGAAGGCGACGGCAGCAATCGTGGAAGAAGCACAGGCTGAGGCCATGTCGGCAAATATCTCTTCAATCTATTTGACGTGTGACTGGAGTCGAGCAGAAAGTATGGACATATAGGAACCTGTAAATGTAGCGAGGAGCTTTATCTTGAAGGATAGGAAGTTGAATGGGTGATTGGCTGCTGAGGCTGCCATGTGGCTCCCAGAATCTAAAACATAGCTCACAGCCTTCAGTTGTCTGGGCTTAGCTGGAATCATCTGAATCTAGTGGCGGTGGACACTCCCCAGCTTAGCACGCCTACTGCCTATGTTTTTACCTACACTGGGCTGGACTGGACTTTTAACTACCTTGGGTTGAGATATACTAACATACAGAAACGAGGAGACTTTTTTTTTTTAATTTTTATGTTATAAATAAGGTAAGGTAACATGTAGCGAAATAAGATATCTGCTGGATGTTCTGTTTAGCATTTTTTTTAGTTGAAATATTTTTAGAAGAGAATAATAGGAAACATAAAAATTCGGCCTCATTCAAAAATTGAGGAATGATTGGACTATATATATATATATATACGTGGGTGTTTCAAAACAAGTTGTTGTTACGGCCTATTGGGCCTTTCTGGGCTTTTGATAAT